GATTCTGACGGTTTTCATAAATCGTCCCATCCCTAATACACACACATCAATTTCAAACTGATGGTATCGTATCAGCCAATACTACACAGCCAGGTATCGGGTGTCGGTATCGGGGGCCAAGAAAAGCCATCACCGTAACACTACCTTTTACCCTCCCTTGTTTTGCTTTTTTATTTGTTTCTCCATTAGATTGAAGAGTTAACGAGCAACCTGCCAGCTCTACAGGCGCTTTCCAACAGCAACTCATCTGTGGACAGCACAGCCAGCTGTGAAACAGGAAGCCCCCCCATGAAGAGGAAGGTCGTAACCAAATTCCAGGGCAATGCTAAAAAGGCTCTGCTCAGATGGGTGCAGTGCACCGCCGCCAAGTACGTAATTACAATTACAAGTAAAAGTATGTTTCTATACAAGATCCTCGTGTTTGTTCACAGTAAAAGTCAAGCAACATGGAGAGGCTCCCAATTGTGTTTTTCAGGGAATTTGGAATTGAGGTGAAGGACTTTGGACCCAGCTGGCGTGATGGTGTCGCGTTTCAAGCCGTAGTTCACGCCATCAGGCCTGATTTGGTCGATATGGAAGTGGTGCGACGGAGAAAGAACCGGGAGAATTTAGAGGAGGCTTTTTCACTTGCGGAAAATGAGCTGGGCATTCCTCGTCTGCTGGATCCAGAAGGTCTTTCTTTTGCTTTTGAATGATGATTTTCATTGCGTCTAACTATTCTAAATAACAATGCTTATCAGTGTTTTTTACACCAAGTAAGGTATCAGTAGTATACGGTTTCGGTGTCAAACGTCTTCTCACATTAGTGTTCTTGATTCAGTGAGTGCTGAAAATACCAACGTTTCATTCATGGCTCAGAGTTTGAGCTTAGAGAAATGAGACTGCAGAAACTTTGTATTTCTGGCTCTACTTACAGAGAAGATTGAAGATGCTTTAATTGACACAGAGCTGCACACAAATGTATGTAGTTACAGGATCTTGGCTCTGGTTTGTAATACCAGGCCATCGTTGTGGATAAAAGGAGAGATGTATAAATAGCTGACAGCCTCGGCTGATTTAGTCTCTTGAGAAATATCTTTTTTAGTCTACTAGATGTAATAACCATGTTGTGTATCGTTCCTGTTCATTTTTATCAAATTATGAATTTCAGTTAATTTAATTTAATCTTTAAGGCTTGTTAAAGCAGTGATAAAATAATACTGTATCTCTGTAGATGTGGATGTTGACAAGCCAGATGAAAAATCCATCATGACATATGTGGCTCAGTTTCTCAAGCATTACCCAAACCCCAAACAGTCTGAGGGGGGTGGACAGCAGGATGAGGTAATTATTATTTTATCAACTTATTACACGCAGTTCAAAGGGAATCGTTTTTTTAGGGATAATACTGTTAAATTACAGTAACACTACTGTTCAAAAGTTTTTGGTCAAATTGAAATGTCCTTATTTTTGAAGGAAAAGCACTGTACTTTTCAATGAAGATAACTTTAAACTAGTCTTAACTTTAAAGAAATACACTCTATACATTGCTAATGTGGTAAATGACTATTCTAGCTGCAAATGTCTGTTTTTTTGTGCAATATCTACATAGGTGCATAGAGGCCCATTTCCAGCAACTATCACTCCAGTGTTCTAATGGTACAATGTGTTTGCTCATTGGCTCAGAAGGCTAATTGATGATTAGAAAACCCTTGTGCAATCATGTTCACACATCTGAAAACAGTTTAGCTCGTTACAGAAGCTACAAAACTGACCTTCCTTTGAGCAGATTGAGTTTCTGGAGCATCACATTTGTGGGGTCAATTAAACGCTCAAAATGGCCAGAAAAAGAGAACTTTCATCTGAAACTCGACAGTCTATTCTTGTTCTTAGAAATGAAGGCTATTCCATGTAAGAAATTGCTAAGAAATTGAAGATTTCCTACAACGGTGTGTACTACTCCCTTCAGAGTACAGCCCAAACAGGCTCTAACCAGAGTAGAAAAAGAAGTGGGAGGCCGCGTTGCACAACTGAGCAAGAAGATAAGTACATTAGAGTCTCTAGTTTGAGAAACAGACGCCTCACAGGTCCCCAACTGGCATCTTCATTAAATAGTACCTGCAGTAGCCTGTTTGTGCTGTCCTTTGAAGGGAGTAGTACACACCGTTGTAGGAAATCTTCAATTACACCTATGTAGATATTGCACCAAAAACCAGACATTTGCAGCTAAAATAGTCATTTACCACATTAGCAATGTATAGAGTGTATTTTTTTAAAGTTAAGACTAGTTTAAAGTTATCTTCATTAAAAAGTACAGTGCTTTTCCTTTAAGAATAAGGACATTTCAATGTGAGCCCAAACTTTTGAACGGTAGTGTATCTGTTTGTGTTTACTGCATTCTTACTTATAATAAGCTTAACCATAGAACCCTTTGGTATATTTATGAATAAATAAATGGCCCTCATGCATTAACACTTGTTTTTACTGCTCGGTACTTAAGTACTACAAAAATGTATGTGGTAAAACATGTCAATAAATAAAGCTTTGATTTGGAATTATAGGCTTTAGAGATGCTCCGTCACAAATCTGTGATAATCTCTGATCTTTTTTTAAGGCTTTGGTCTGTCGCTTGTGATCGCAGCCATATTTGGGCTGTAAGGACAGTTATTAACACAGGTGTCCTTAATTGTTTATTTTAGCTGCTGAGACAAGCAGCCTTAAAACATGGTACTAAAGCTAACAAAAAATATTTGAACTAGAATTTTTCTTCCTTTAGCTTCTTCTGTAAACAATGAACACATTTAGCAGCATTAGCATTATAAAGTAACCAGTCAATCACACAGTGTGTGTTTTCCAATCATGATAGAGAGCTTCACCTCATCTCTGAGATTTTCCAAAGGCTGATGGTGTTTTACTGTTAGAACTATCAGCAAGATGCTAATAAATCAAGCATGTTTCATACAAACCAGAAATAGAAAATATTTTTCATTCAAAAAGTCTCCCAGAGCTGCATCCCATCATTTGACTTAATCTTTTAACCAAATACCAAAGAGAGTGTGAGTCAGCTTCACCTGGTCGCCCCTATCGCCACACTCTCAGCTGGAAAAAGGAATTTGGAGTTTTCAAGACATTAAAAATCATTTCTTTCCATTTGATTTCTCAGTGCATCTCTAATAGAAATTGTGTGCATGAAAACAAATTCTTATGTTTTATTTTATATCATCACACATTTATTTGTTGTTTTTTTTCCATCCACTTTATTTTTTATTTGTTGCACATCAAGCTGCTTCATGGCTCTCCTCCAACTCTTGCATTGTCAGTTTCAGTGCTTCAGGTGAGGTTTCAGGTCAGAGTTCTGCATGCTTTCTGTTTGGAGTGTTTTCACCCTCCTCCTCCATCTCTTCCTTCCTTTCACTCTGCTTTTGTTTCCTTGTTATTCTGATGCCTTTTTGATGTGAATGCATTTCTCTGTCATGCTTGCCTTGATGCTTTCCTGGAAAGTTTGTTCCTCAAGATATAGAGCAGATGCTTGAGGTATGTTCAAACAATAGCAGTTTTCTTCTTTTATATCATATCTTTGAATACAATACTAGTATCAAAGTTCTCTGTTTCTACTACTCTTTTTAACGCTTCTGTGTCCAAGTCTGTTTATTCTAAAGTAGTCTTTTTAATCTGATCTCTCATTTTTAAATTAAAACATGGGAGGGTTCCATTGGTATGTTAATTAGGGGAAAATGGGTTTTGGATTTAGTTTTGCATAAATAAGCTGCTTATCATCTGATTGTGACAGAGGGAAGAGAGGAAGATGCTTAGGGAACTGAAGGTGTTTGTAGATCAGCTGGAGAGAGATTTGCTGCGTGCCCAGGCCACAGAGGGAAGCCTCACTGACAAATACCAGGTGAGTTTTTCTTGGGTAGAAAAGAAATATATATTTTACCAAGGAAATATTGTTCCAATCATTATGTCTGTGTTTTGTAGGGATTCAAAAACTTTCATGTCCAGTATGAAATGAAGAAAAAGCAGACAGATCAGCTGCTCCAGCCTGTTCATAAGGAAGGAAAGCTGTCGGTGGATCAGGCCGTGGTCAAGCAGGCGTGGGACCGTGTCTCTGCCCGGGTAACTATAGTCCAAGATGAAAAAGCTTTTTCTTTAGATTTACTATTTAATTACATCTTCTAGTAGCTTCTTAGTAGCAGATTTTTTAATCCAATCCAAATTGGAAACTTTCCCTGAGAATCTGTGTATTTGGTCAAGCTGGTCCAGATTCTGCCCATCTATATATTTTCTCCTAACTTTTAGGGAAAAATTTTACTTATTTAATCCTATATATACATACAAATGTTATGAAAAGACTTTTGCTTTTCTTGCAAAGGTTCCTACTTTTACATTATGTAATTTTTTTTATAATATCATATAAATTAAATAGGAATGTAAGAAGTTTTGTTTTTTTTGTTCAAAGAAATCTCCAATTCCTCGCTTCCAATAAAGTTTAGTGGGGTGACAGGGTGCTTTGTGTTCACAGACTGGGGGTGAGAGAACAGAGTGTGTTTTGTTCACCAGACACTTTATTTTCTGGACATCCACAGATTATTTAGAGAGGAATAATACATGGTTGTAGCACAATTACTTGTGAATTTGAGGGACTGCTGTGTTTAGAGCTTCCTCTGATAATGGATCTTTCTATAGCTGAGTATCTTTCTTTGATTGGCTGTCAATTGTAGCTGTTGGACTGGCACATTCATCTGGACAAGTCCCTGCCTGGCCCCCTGGGGGTGGTGGGAGCCTGGCTTCACAGAGCAGAGTTGGCTTTGAGAGAGGACATTCCCCTCCAACATGTTCACGAAGAAACGGCCAACGTTCTGCACAGAAAACTGGAGCAGCATAAGGTAAAGTATCTGTCCTCAGCGTCATGTTAATTAGATAAATCAGTGTGAGGGTAATTGTATTTTTTTGTTGCAGGAAGTTTTAAAAAGCTTGGAATCGCACAGACAGACTTTCATGCAGATCCACAGAGACAGATCAGTAAACGGGGTACCGGTGCCACCCGAACAGCTCCAAGACATGGCAGAAAGGTCTATTTCTCCTCTCTACTAACCCTTGGGTTTTGTGTTTAAAATTTAGGAAAGAACTAAAATACTGTCTCTTTTCTCTTCAGGTTCAACTTTGTGTCAACATCATCGCACTCTCACTTGATTAAACTAGAATTCTGGGAAATGAAGTATCGATTGATGGCGTTCCTTGTTTTGGCTGAAGCAAAACTCAAGTCCTGGATCATAAAATATGGCCGACGGGAGTCAGTTGAACTCCTGCTGCAGAGCTACCTTGTGAGTTCAACTTATTTAAATCGGAGGTGCATATTTTAACTTGCAGGTTTATGTAAAATGATAATTTCCCCATCTCTTTTATAGGCTTTTGTTGAAGGCCACAGATTTTTTGAGCAGTATGAAATCATCTTTACCGCCCTGAAGCAAGCTGCAGAGGTTTACATCAAGTCAGACAGTTCAAGTAAGATTATACGTTTATTTTACAAATACATATATAGGGATACCTAAACAAAATGAGCATTTGTCCTATTTTTTAGTAAACAGCGTCGATTTTTATGTTACAGGGACTAAAACCTGTAACAAAGGTAAGTCCAAAAACAGCGAACACTAAAATGTGCCTGTTTCCATTCCTTCTGTAACTCTTGGCTTGCTTTTTGCTTCAACCCACTTCTGCCTCCAAAAATTAAACGGTCATGGTGCATTATGCATGAGGGAATAACTAGTTGGAATGGTATTTTAGCATGTTTAACTGACCTAACAAACATAAGATCAGCAAGCACAATCATTCGCTGTTTCTACACAGTATGTAACATCGACTGGCAGTCAAGTATTCATACGGCTTGAACACTTGTGTGAACAATGCAGCCTCAAACCTCAGTGTATTTTGTTGGGATTTAAATGACAGACCAACACAAATTAGGGCATATTTTTGGAAGGAAAATGATTTATAGGTTTGCATAAAATAAAACTAGGAAAAACTGACTTAAATTTGTATTTCCTGCACTTAAATCTGATACACTTGAGTAAAATCCTAATAAATGCCTACAGAAGAGACCCAACTAAGTCCACATGTATGTAATTCCCCAAGTTGCCTGCTCTGTGAAGGCCTTAACCTATCTTACAGAATATTAGAGAGCAAAAAGCACAATGAAGACACAGAAAAGGAGCAAACATGTAAAGCATAAAGTTGTGGATGAGTTTAAATCAAGACAGGCTTACAAATGATATCCAAGCTTCTAACTTTTAGCAGTTAAATTTACTATAAAAAGAAGGACGGTTTGCACGACTGCTAAAACGGATCAGAATCACGTTTATTGCCAAGTAGGTTTGCACTTACAAGGAATTTGACTTGGTGTTGTTGGTGCAGACAAAAAATAAAATAAGATAGAATATTTATATATACATATATGTATATAGATATACACAGAAGCTATATACACACAGTAGACTGTGCGTTAATGTAACGCAAAAATCCTGAGTGGGGGAGAGAAACATTGTCCAGTGTCATGGGCGGCTCTTGGCCTTGTTGATAAGGCCGGTAGCAGATGGGAAAAAACTGTTTTTGTGACGGGAGGTTCTGGTCCTGATGGACCGCAGCCTCCTGCCAGAAGGTAGTGTCTGAAATAATCTGTGACTGGGGTGCGAGGGATCAGCCACAATCTTCCCTGCACGCCTCAGAGTCCTGGAGGCGTGCAGCTCCTGGAGAGATGGGAGGTTGCAGCCAATCACCTTCTCTGCAGACCGGATGACACGCTGCAGTCTGCTCTTGTCCTTAGCGGTGGCATCAGCGTACCAGATGGTGATGGAGGAAGTGAGGATGGACTCAATGATGGAGGAGTAGAACTGTACCATCATTGTCCTGGGCAGGTTCAATTTCTTCAGCTGCAGCAGGAAGTTCATCCTCTGCTGGGCTTTTTTGGTCAGGGAGTCGATGTTCAGCTCCCACTTTACGTCCTGGGAGATGATAGTTCCCAGGAGCCGGAAAGACTCCACAGTGTTAATGGTGGAGTCACAGAGGGTGATGGGGGTAGACAGGGATGACAGTCCACCTAAAAACTGACAAGGAGACCATTATTTAGAGAAAAAGCCAAAATTGCCCTTTGTGGCATTTGAGGAGCTGCCAACATCCACGGCTCAGGTGGAGGAATGTCAGTCAGACAAGTACTGATGATGCCTTCCACAATCTGGCCTCAGAGTAGTAAGAATAAAACCAATGTCGAAATAATCCATCGTAAATTACTGTTTGCTCCAAGGCAATTAGAAGACCCAACACACCTATGGTGGAAGGTGTTCGTTTTTTGATGGAATGAGTCCAAAATCAGTCCGTAATTTAAACCCTTGATATGGTGGAAAACCTACACCCACCATCACTCTGAACACATTACATCCACAGTGAAACAGCATGCAGTGAGATAATTGAGAATCTTGAGGAAAGACTTAAAAATTGACTTTAAAATCTATTGAAGCGCAGGTACTTAGTATTAAAGAATGTAACAAAACGTCATATTCTAGATGCAGAAACCTGGTAGAGACATTATCCGAAAGACAGTAATCGTAGTAAAAAGTAGTTTAAATCCTCACTAGTAAAACATGCCTCTGAACCATGTATCCCTTATCTTTCACATAGCAATAGTCTACTATTTAGTGTTAAAATCCCAACAATATCCACTGAAGTTTGTGTTTTTATGACAAATGTTCAGAGGGAATGAATACTTCAAGGCACTATCATGTCATCATGTGAAAGTGTTTAGTTACCTTAGGAAGCTATGCTAATCTAAAGTTGTTTGATTTCCAGTTGATGAAGCAGAAGGTGTGAGCAAATTCCTGACTGAAACAACAGCTCAGTGGAAGAACCTGGCCCTGGAGGTCCGAAGTGTTCGCAGCATGCTCGAAGAAGTGATCTGTAACTGGGAGAAGTATAGCAGCTCTGTGGCATCACTGCAAGCCTGGCTGGAGGATGCTGAGCAAATGCTCAGCAAGTCAGAGAATGCCAAGCGTGTAAGAGCTTTTAGAGACAGTAGGAACAAGAGCGAATGCAACATTAAAATACACTCTATGACATCATCAGCTCTGCACTCTTTTAGCCTTTTTTTTCTTTCATGTTTCAGGATTTTTTCAGGAACCTTTCTCACTGGATCCAGCAGCACATGGACATGAACGATGCCGGCAATTTTCTCATTGAAACGTGCGACGAAACCGTCTCGCGAGATCTAAAGCAGCAGCTTCTGCTGCTGAACGGTAGATGGAGAGAGCTATTTGTCAAAGTCAAACATGTACGTTTTGTGCATTTTTAAATCCAAATTAAATACCAAAAAGTGTATAGCAGGTATAGCCTTCTTTTATTATTAAAAAAAGTAATCATCTTTGCTATTTCACTGGCAGTATGCAAGAGCAGATGAAGTTGATAAATTAAGACAAGACTATCAAGATGGGATTAAGACCTTAAAGATGTTTATGGATGCAACAAACGAGAAGATGACCGCTCCTGTTCAAGTATCTTTCCTTAACGTCAGGGCCTTTGTTCAAGATGTGGAGGTTAGACCATTTATTTTTCTTAAAGTTTACACCAGTCCTCACTATATCAGTTTCTGTCCTGTATGCCGTCATTTCACCGTATTTTTTATATTATCTCTCATAGGAAATCAAGCACAAAGTGCCAGCAATGGAGGCAGCCTGCAAGGCCGCAAGCCGCACCGCTCAGCTGTTGACCAAAGACACTCCACAAGAGGAGATTTCTCAGATGATGGATGTGATGGCTTCGATCAAAGAGCAGCTCAGTAAGGTGAGAATGTGTCAGCATGTGGTGTTTTGCAACAAGACTGTTATATTAAGTTTTTTGCCTCCGTACAGCCAGTTAAGAATAAATACACTATTATATCACCTTTGCATATGTTTTTATGCTTTATTCTGTTTCGATAGACTTTAGTGATTGTATTATGTATATGGGCTATCATTTAATAGAGAATACCCAATGTTTTAAGCAAAATCCAATGTATTTGTATCGTGCCAATATACAGCACATGTCATTTCACAGTGTATTCTCATAATGAGAAAAGTTATGCACCGTAATTTCGTACGTTTTGGACGTTTTTTTCGTCGCATGCGCATCTGACGCACCTTTCAAGAACATAGAATTTAAAAAACAATTAGCCCTAACCCTGACCGTAAGATATAAAACAGCAAGCAACGTAGTTAGAGACATGAAGAAGTGATGATTGCACTGTTTTTCCAAGTTTTATGTCCGTCCGCGGATCTGCTTTTTTTTTCTGTCTGCCTGCGCATGCGCACTGATCGGGTCTTTTGAGGAAAAACGTCCAAAACGTACAAAATAGTGTGCATAACTTTTCGTACGATTTCATACGAACTGATAATGAGAATATGTTGCATTTCAAGGCACTTTAAGAGGCAATTTAATCAAATTTTAAAGACAGCTTGGTTAAAAGGAAACCCAGCAGACTGCAGTGATTTGACACTGCAGAATTCACTCCTCCTGGATGAGCATGTAGTGACAGTGGACAGTGCTTGCATAGTATCAGATTACTTACTGCAGTAATCTGTCATACTGAGCATACATGTAATGATAGGAGAGAGAAAAACTCACCCAGTTGAATATTAATGTGACGGATCGACATAAAGTAATACATAAATTCAAATAATAGAAAAAATACATGGTTTTAAAAATTGTACAATCATTTATAAAGTGTATGCAGAGCCACCAGCTTTACATACAAGGATATTCAGGTGTTTGCCTTGTCCTTGGTGCAAACGGTACAAACCGAATCAGATCACACGATGAGTGCCTGTGATGATGCCTTGTCACAGACTCTAAATTGAATTTTAGTCTAGATGTTTGCAATAATAAAATTGCTTCCATTAAATCCATTTTATTTCAGTTCCGCCTCCTTGTTTGCCTCAGCCAATCAGAAGTAGGGGTGTAAATCACATCCATCATGGCGATTCGATTCAGTTTCGATTTCCTGACCCAGCGATTTGATTATTTTCGATACTCAAGTATACACCACGATACAATTCGATTCAATTAATTGGTTCATTTTTTTTTCTTTTCTTTTTTTTTTTACACGTTTTTTACACAATGTTTCAAATTTGGAATAAATCGATAAATGCTGTAATATGGAACCCTTTTTCCACCTGGATCTCCGCTCTTTTTGGCCCTCATGTCCCTCCGTCGTCGGAGACCACGCTTCAATATTGAGCATAAATCAAAAATGTCTGTGTCAAGCTCACTGCAACACACTGCTGTAAGAGTATAACCAGGAAGNAGACCACGCTTCAATATTGAGCATAAATCAAAAATGTCTGTGTCAAGCTCACTGCAACACACTGCTGTAAGAGTATAACCAGGAAGCGCTGTAGGAGGGCTCAATAGGTTTAGCGCCACCGCAGCACGGGAGGAGAATTACGCCCAGGAGCAAATGGATTAAAATAGACCGGAGGACGTATTGATGCATCGGATCGTCGGCTGTTGGATCGATGCATCGATACAAAACGATTATTATTTACACCCCTAATCAGAAGGGGAAAGGATTTATATTTCTATTAACTTCCCACAGACAATGCTGCTGACATTTTATAGTGGGGATGGTGATTTGAGGTGTTAGTTCCTTTCCAAGTCAAAATCCTGAAACATCTGCTTTATTCTTCCATTTCTTCTGTGGAAGCCAAACAAGTGGACTACACCACTAATTGTCTTTTAACAGTCTTTTTACCAATCTACCAGAGTGACTATTGGTCTCTTACTCGTGTTTTTACAGTATGTTCCTGCAACAAAAATTCACTCTAAAACACACTTTAACATGTCATAATAAAGTTCAGGGAGTGTGATTCGTTTTTTAAGGAACTAAGGATCTGTTTCCTTCGGAACAACGTGGCTTATTTATCTTTCTGACATGACTTTTTCTTATCAGGTGAGGGAGAGGTGTCTGCCTCTGCTAAGGGAGTCTCAGTCTCTCTTACCTCCACTGGAGGAAATGGAGAGGAACATCACAGGCTTTTACCAAGCTCTGGAGAAGGCTGGCCGTATCACCGGCACCACAGACTCTGAGGGACCAGTAGATTTTAAACAGAATTGCCAGGTAACTCATAAAACAGTTCAGTATTAATGAACTTTAGACTTATGGATATAAATGTCTAATTGACCCTCTTAAACATCGGATTTCATTGCCTTGTTTTTAGCTTTATGTTTGGTTAACTTAAAGCAACATCGTATTATATACATAACATTTTTTTTCTTTTACACTTTAGGAGCTGGCGACTTTCACACACAGCTGTAAGAAGTGCCTGACAGTAATAGAAAGAAACCATCAAACTATCCAAAAAATCATGAACACCAGTAAAACCCTGCAGCACATGGACATGAGTCTGTTGCAGAAGAGAGTGGCAGATTTGCAGACTTCGTCACAGGTAACTTTCATCATCTAATGCAGTATCACTGTATGTCTAAAGCTGCTTGTCAGCAGTGAAGTAACGGCTTGTGGGATTTCCTTTAGAACATGATTACGGAATCAACAGAGTGGCGAAAGCATGTGGAAGCAAACAGCAGCCTCATGAAGAGGTTTGATGAGTCACGAGTCGAGCTGGAGAAAGTCCTGAAAGCGGCCCAGAACTGTCTGACAGAAAGGGGCAACCCAGAGGAACTGCTGAAGAAACACACAGTAGGGCTTTTTTTAAACATTCAGCTTCTGTTCATCAAAATAGATGGGAGCAGTTTATTATATCCTAATATAATTGACACAATGCACCAATCAGAATTCAGTTTTGTGGAAGTTGGAGCTGCCAGCACCAATTTTCCTTTTTGTTTTTAAGCAAAGACAATGTTACAAAGTTGACATTTTAGATTTGCTTTAGTATAACACTATAGTAATGCAACTAGTTTTACAAAAACAGCTGTATTCATGTGCATCCATACTGGAGAACTTTACTCCAAAATGTTCCAAACAGGTCTTGGCCCAATTTGTTCAGCCTTCCTGTTATCTGCTGAAGTCCCTCTTGTCTTTTAGATGTCGCTATTTAAATTTAACTGACAAACTACCATTTCTGTTTGAACAGCATCCTACGTGCTTAAGATGCATTCACTTCTCAGAAAGAAACATCAGATGTTGATATTTTTGACCAGTCTGTCACTTTTGGTCACCAAAATATACTTGAGTTGTTTTGGGGTTTTTTTTTTAACTACAGCTTAATGTAAATGAGTTTTGTTTTTAAGAACAAGCCTCAGCTAGAGGTCGAACCCTGAAAACATCTTGCTGTCATTTGCAGGAATTCTTTGGACAGCTGGACCAGCGGGTTTTGAACACGTTCCTCAAGGCTTGTGACGAACTGACGGATATTTTGCCTGAACAGGAGCAGCAGTGTCTGCAGGAAACAGTTAGAAAGCTGCACAAACACTGGAAGGTTGGTGGGAATTAATCCATGAAAATCTATAGATAAAAAGTTATTTCAAAAGGATATGTGAATACTTGCTTATACTAATTCTTATGTTTCTGTTATGATACAAAAACTACATTGTAAGAAGATAATTTTGCAGTTGTTTAGCTGTTAGAAAGTGTATTGAAACTATATTGCTGTAAACAAATATGAGATTATAGTTCCTCTTTCCTCAGGATATACACACGGAAGCCCCTTTTCATCTCCTGCATCTGAAGGTGGAGGGCGAGAGGAACAAGCTGATGGTGTCGTTGCAGGGGTGCCAGGCAGAGCTGACCAGGGAAAACCGGCACCTGGCTAGCATGGGGAGTGAGAGGCTCATCAAGGAGCACAGGGTCAGCACACTATTGCTACTTACACATGTTCTGCTTGTTTAATTTACATGCAGAGCCAATAACAGCCTGTAATAACATGCAGAGCCTTGCAAAAGTTTTAACAGCACTTCAACTATAAACTTGAAAGTTTCTACTGAAATTTTCAAGCGATACTCCAAAGTAAAGTAGTGTTCGCTTGAAAACTGCAAGGAAATCATTTTTCGTTTTTACCAGAGATGGCAAAAGTACTCACTTTCCGTACTTGAGAAAAAGTACA